TCCTCCTGCTCGAGGAAGATCGCGCCGTCGTCGTCCGCATGCGGGAGACGGTATGGCTCGCGCTCAGGCCCCGCGACCTGGCGGCGGCGCTCGAACTCGGCTACTCCTGCGGCAATCTGCACTGGCGGGTGCGGTTCGAGGGCGCGGTCCTCAAGGTTGCGCTGGACGGCCCGCGCGAGACCTACCTCGCGCGGCTTGCCCAGCATTTGGCCGACGGCCGGGCGCGCATCATCGAGGAGCAGGGCGAGCAGTGACGACAGGGACGGCGCAGGCAGAGGCCGAGGCATCGGCGGCGCCGCCGAGCGCGGCACGGGTCGGCATCGGGGGACCGGTGGGTTCCGGCAAGACGGCGCTCATCGAGGGGTTGCTGCCGCTCTTTGCAGCGCGCGGCACCTCGCTCGCCATCGTCACCAACGATCTGGTGACGCGGGAGGATGCAGAGCGGCTGCAGCGGAGCGGCCTGATCCCGCCGGAGCGGGTCGTGGGTGTCGAGGCCGGCGCCTGCCCTCACACGGTGATCCGCGAGGACCCGACGCTCAACATCGAGGCCGCTGACTTGCTGGAGGAGCAGCTTCGCCCCCTCGACCTCATCCTGATCGAGAGCGGTGGCGACAATCTCGCCTCCACCTTCTCCCTCGATCTGGTGGACTACTGGCTCTTCGTGATCGACGTTTCGGGCGGCGGCGACATTTCCGCGCAAGCGGGGGCCCGGAATCATCCGGGCCGACCTGCTCATCATCAACAAGTCGGACCTCGCGCCCCACGTGGGAGTCGATCTCGCGCTCATGCGAAGGGAAGCCGAGGAGGTTCGCGCCGGGCGGCCGGTCCTGGTTACCAACTGCCGCACCGGCGAGGGCCTCGACCGGGTGGCGGACCACCTCGCCCACGACGTGCTGATGGAGGGTTGAGGCGCCATGAATGAGGCGGCAAGCGCAGGCGCGGCAGCGGTCAGGACCCGGGGAAACCTCCTCGCGCGAGCGAAAGGGCTCATGGATACCGTGCGGGAGCGCTCGGACGAGACCGAGGAGACCCGCCGGCTCGCGCCCGAGACCATGCAGGCGATGCGGGACGCCGGTATCCACCGCATCCTGCAGCCCGCCCGCCACGGCGGGGCCGAGGCGCATTTTTCGGGCATGGCCGATATCGTGGAGACCATCTCGATTGCCTGCAGCGCCGCCGGCTGGTGCCTGACCCAATACTGCTCCCACAACTGCCTGCTCGGCTACTGGCCCGGCGATGGGCAGGACGAAATCTGGGGCGCGACACCGGACGCCATGGTGGCAGGCGTGCTGATCCCGAGCTGCGGCCGGGCCGTGAGAGTAGACGGCGGCTGGCGGATCAGCGGGCGCTGGCCCTTTGCGAGCGGCGTCTACGGCGCCGACTGGTTCATCGCGACGGCATTCACGGAGGGCGACGGCGTCCCCAAGGTCGCCCAGATGCACGCCGTGCCGCTCGGCCAATTCGAGATCATCGACACCTGGCACACCGCCGGCCTGCGCGGCACCGGCAGCGCCGATGTCGCCGTGGACGACATCTTCGTGCCGGACCGCCGGGCGCTCCCCATCGACTCCACCAAGGGCGGCGGCGATGCGCCGGGGTGTGCGGTGAACGACGCGGCGCTCTACAAGTTGCCGGCCTTCGCCATGTTCTCCATCAACCAGAGCATCGTCGCGGTCGGCGTGGCCCAGGCCACCTACGACGACTTCGTCGCGCGCACCCGCGACCGGGTCGCGCGGATGTCGGGCAAGAGCATGGCCGACTATTCCACCGCCCAGGTCAAGGTGGCCGAGGCCCATACCGCGATCGAGACCGCCCGGCTGCTGCTGCACCATTGCTGCGACGCAGGGATGGCGGTCGCCGCGCGCGGCGAGACCGCGCCGATGCCGCTCAAGACGGAGCTTCGCGCCAAGGCGACCATGGCGGGCAAGCTCGCGGCCGAAGCGGTCGACCTGCTGTTCCACCTCTCGGGCGGCGCCGGCCTCTACGACCGCAACCCGATCTCGCGGGCGATGCGCGACCTCAACTGCATCCGCGGCCACATCACCCAGAACTGGGACGTGAACGCGTCGAACCACGGCCGCGTGCTGCTCGGCCTCCCCTCCGCCGACCCGGCTCTTTGAGCCGGTCTTATTTCTTATCCCTCAGGCGCCGGGCGCTCGCTCCGCTCGCTTGGCTACGCGCTACGCGCGCGGCGCGGTCGCGCCGTCCGGGCCTACGGCCCGGTTGCCTCATCTCGCACATTTCGCCGATTGCCAAGTTCTCGCGTCACGCCGCGACGAAGGTCCCGTGCAGGCCGAGGGGTAGCGGGTAGGGCAGGATGCCCTGCCAGAGCGGCCCGTCGGCAAGGTGCCGGGCGTCGAAGACGCTGAGCCCGGCAGCGCGGCGCTCCAGATCGAGGAAGGGCCCCACGAGCCAGCCGTCACCGTCGGCCTCCCCGCGCGGCACGAACACGTGCTCCTCCGGGATCAGGTGGCGCGGGTAGGACCAGCCGTCGACAACGCCCTGATCGGGATCGATCCGGTCGATCTGCGAGAGCGGCCAGCCGCCGTCCTCGGCTCCGGTAAGCGCGAAGAGCGCGCGGTGCCGGAGCCCCGTGCGCCGCGGGTCGATGCGTGGGAAGTCGGCCACGCGCGATGCCACCTGCTCGACCGCAGCGGCCCCGCCGGGCCTGAGCACCATGCGGCGGTAGCGCGGATGGGCGGAGGGGAAGCTCCAGTCGCCCTCCATGACCGCGCGCAGGTCGTGGATGGCGAACATCGGGTCCGCCGCCTGGCAGAGGTCGAGGTGGATCGTGCCGTCCGCCTCCTCCCACCCGTTGCCGTGGTGGAAGTGGAAGCCCGGCGGCAGCGCGTAGCGGCGGACCGGGGTGAGCGAATCCTTCTCCACCACGATCACGCGGGTGCCGAGCGCCGGTTGCCAGACATGGGCGTCGAGAAAGCTGATCGGGCCTGCGGCGAAGCGCTCCCGCTCGACCACGAAGGGCGAGAGCACGAGCACGAGATGGCGCCGGGTCACGACATAGTCGTGCACCATGCCGAGCGGCTCCTCCGGCAGCGCGTTGAAGGCGGCGAGCCGGCCGTCGGGATCGATGCGATAGAAGAGCAGCATCGGCTGGGGCGCCGTGACGCAGCCGATGTTCCAGCAGGTGCCGTCCGCCTCGACCTTGGGATGGGCCGAGAAGGGCGCGCCCGCAAGGTCCGCGCGCCAGGAGACGAAGTCGCCGGCCGCGAGCGTCTCGGGATCGAAGGCGAGCGCAGATCCCCCCTCCCAGAGCGCCATGAGCCGCCCGCCGTGGGCGAGCACGGAGGTGTTTGCCGTGTTCATGTCGTCGGGCGAGAGGATCGGCACGGTCTCGGGCGGCAGCGTGGCGAAGGCGGGCAGGAGGCGTTTGCCTGCCTCCGTCTCCCGCCGGCGCTTCGGCGTCTCCAGAATACGGGCGCGGTGGCTCACGCCGGCTCCGCTGAAGGTGAAGGCCTGCACCATGCCATCACCGTCGAACCAGTGGCCGTAGCGATGGCCGAAGCGCTCGTGCTCGGCCGGGCCGTTGCGCCAGAGCACGCCCGCAAGCGCGGGCGGTAGACGGCCCGAGAGGGTCGTGAGCGGCGCGGCAAGCGTCTCGGCCTGCGCCGTGGCAAAACCCGTAAGGCGTTGCGCGGCGGAGAGCGGAGGCGCGGGATCGGCGGCATCACCCGCCGCCGCCCCTGCCCTGCCGGCCGCCAAGAGGACCGGCAGAGCACCCAGGCCCTGCAACACCGCACGGCGGGAGGGTGAGCCTGTCATTGCTGCGCCCCAGCCGGATAATCGATCGATACGGTGACGGAGACCACGGCCTCGCTCTCGCCCACGGTCACCGCGGCGTCCTCGAAGCTGGGTGGGCCCATGAAACCGCGCGCGCCATTGGAAAAGCCGTGGCCTTCGGTCGGCATACCGACGAAATTCTGGTTGAGCGCGCCGTCGCCATCGGCATCGTGGAAGGCCGCCACCGCATAGGCGCCGGGCACCACGTCGGCAAAGACAAAGCGCACGGCACCCTCGTCGGCACGACGGATGGACGCGGCGACCACGCCGTCGTCGGCGGGGAAGGCGCCCTCCGGCACCTGCCGATGGAGTGCGACGCGCACGTCGCCGTCGGCCGAGCGCAGGCCGTCGATACGGACCTCGAGGTCCGCCGCCGCGGCCGCCGAAGCGAGCGATGCGACACAGGCAATCGTGGCCGCCAGTACTGAGCCCTTGATGGATGCGGTTCGAATGGTCATCACATATTCTCCTAAGCTTGGGGTTGGCTGACCGGGGCAGGGTGAGCAGGCCCGCTCCGCGCGTCACCGTCCGATACGCAAACGCCACGGGAATATTCGCGAATTGCAGGAATCGCCGTTCACGCTTCGTGAATTGCGCCGGTCGTTGGCCGGTCAGGCGGCGGGGCTCGTCGGCCTGGTGCTGCTCTTCGCCTTCATCGGCCCCTTCGGCACCTATGATTCGTTCGGCCTGCCCGACCGCATCGGCTATTGGGCGGTGGCGATGGGCGGCAACTGGCTCGTCTGCGGCAGCATCATGATGCTGGCGCTCGTCACCGCAGGCGGCCAAACGATGCGCAGGCGGGCGTTGGTGACGGCAGCGGCGGCCCCGGTCGCCGCCGCGCCCCGGCACCGGGGTGGTGTTCGCCGCCGAGGCGCTCTTCCGGCCGGGCTACGCCGCCGACATCTCGGTGCCGATAATCTATCTCTCGGTGGCGGTGCTCATGCTGGTGATCGGGCTTGCGGTCGTCACGGTCCTCGAAGTGCGGCGCCGGCTGGCGGAGGGGGGCGTCGCCGGACCGGCGCGGACCCGGCCGAGGCTTCAGCCGACCGCCCCGGCCCCGCGCCGGGAGGGACGCTTCCTCGACCGCCTGCCCGAAAAACTCGGCCGCGACCTCGTCTATCTCAAGACCGCCGACCACTATGTGGAGGCAGTTACCACGGCAGGCTCGACCCTGGTCCTGATGCGCTTCGTCGACGCCGTTGCGGAGCTCGACGGCGCGGGCGGGCTCAGGGTCCACCGCACCTACTGGGTCGCGAGCCGCCATGTGACAGGGGCTGCGCGTCGCCACGGCCGCACGACGCTCCGGCTCACCGGGGGCCATGAGGTGCCGGTGAGCCGCACCTACATGGCGGCCGCGCGCGCCGCCGGGCTGCTCTGAGCGATGCGGGCCAATCCCAGGAAAGGCAGCGGTGCGGCGCCCGGCGCCGAGCAGCGCTGGGAAGCGCGGGCGCTGGAAGGCCTTGCGGCCTTCCAGGCGAGCCGTATCGAGGAGGCATACGCCGCATGGCGCTCCGCCGCCGCCATCGCCAGGGCGTTCGCCGCGGACGACCCGCGCCGGGCGGCGAGCCGGACGCAACTCGCGCTTTGCCACGCCGCTGCCGGCAACGCCCAGGCGGCACGTCGGGCCTTCCGCCGGGCGCTGCGGACCTGGGAGGCGGCGGAGGCCTGGGTCACGCGCATGACGGTGGAACGGCGCGCCCGCAGCTCAGGCTTCCATCTGCGGCTCGAGGCCAAGCATCCCGGCGGCTACGACGCCGTCGCCCGCGCGGGCTTCGCCCGGCTGCTGGGCGCCGGGCGGGCGGCAGCGCTCGCGGGCAGCGCCCATCTTGCCCGCAATCCGGCGGCCCCGCTGGAGGAAGCGCAGGAGCAGCGTGCGGGCGGCCTTAGCTGGCGAGAAGCGAGCCAGGTGGCGATCTGGCGCGCGCTCGCGGCGCTCAGGGAGGAGGCGGGGGATGGAGCGGCGGCGCTTGACGCCCGGCACCGGGCCGAGGCGATCGAACGCGACCCGGTGAGCTTCGGGCCGGAGCGTCTCGCCACCGCAACAGCGGGCCAGCCGGTGAGCGATCTCAGGCGTCTCGAGGCGGCGGTCTATCTGACCCCGGTGGTTCTTCATCGTCGCTGACCGGCGGCCGGCGCCCGTGCCGCGCCAGCTCCCACCACTCCTTGGCCCGACGCGGCAGGCTCTCTAGCCCGTCCGGAAGGAACATCACGGTCAGAATCAGGATCGCGCCGTAAAACAGCGGCCGCCATTCGTCGAGGCTGCGCAGCCCTTGGTCGACAACCGTCAGCACCACGACGCCCACGATGGGGCCGGCGATGGTCCGCGTGCCGCCGACGATCACCCACACCAGCACGAAGAGCATGATGTGCAGGTTGAACTGGGTCGGGTTGACGGTGCCGAGGTAGTGGCCGAGGAGCCCGCCGGCGAGTCCGGCGAAGGCCGACGCGACCACCAGAGCGAAGGTCTTGTACCACCAGATATGCACACCGACCGATTCGGCCAGCACGTCCTTCCAATGGATCGCGTGCAGCGTGAGGCCGAAGCGCGAGTGCTCCAGCCGGTAGAAGATGAAGATCGTGATGACCACAATCGCGAGCGTGAGGAAGTAATAGGCGCGGGCGTCCGCCGCGACGTCGAACATACCGAGGACGGGGAGCGGAATTTCCGGCGAGGGAATGTACACAATGCCACCCGGCCCACCGAAGGGGTCGCGGAAGCGGTTCCAGGTGAGGCGGATCGCCTCGCCCGCGGCGAACGAGCCGATCAGGAAGTAGAAGCCCTTCATCCGGAACAGCGGGAAGGCCAGCAGCAGCGCGAGGAGGCCGGTGAACGCCGCCGCCAGCGGCGCCGCGAGCCAGACCGATAGCCCCGCCTCCTTGGTGGCGAGCGCGCTGCCGTAGGCGCCGACGCCCATCATCACCACATGGCCGAGCGAGAACTCCCCGGCCAGCGTGAGGAAGCGGTAGCTCACCGCCAGGATCACGTTGATGAGCATGAAGATCAGGATGTCGAGGCGGTAGAGCGCGACCAGGAAGGGCAGCGCGCAGAAGAGCGCGAGCAGCGCCGCGAGGCCACCGCCGGTCGCTATGAGCCGGCTAGACCTTCTCACCTTTACCCAGGAGGCCGGCGGGCCGCACGATCAGCACGAGCAGCATCAGCAACAGGCCGAGGATGCTCGCGATGGTCCCGTCGAGGTAGGTGGCCACGAACGTGTGGAAGAAAGTGTAGAGCACGGCGGCCAGCACGGCGCCTTCGAGACTGCCGATTCCGCCCACGATGATAACGATGAAGGCGGTCACGATCACCGGGCCGCCGATATAGGGGTAGACCCGCACCAGCGGTGCCATGATCGCGCCGGCGGCGCCCGCCATGCCGGCGCCGAGCCCCATCGCGAGCAGCGCCAGCTTGTTGATCGACATGCCCTGCAGCGCCGCCGCCTCGCGGTCCTGCGCGCAGGCGCGGAGCGCCCAGCCGAGGCGCGTGCGCTTGAGGAAGAGCCAGAACCCAATCAGCAGCACGACCGCAATGCCGAAGGCGACGAGCCGCTGCCACGGCACCAAGGCGCCCTCCAAGCCGAAGACCGGCGTCGCCCCGGGATAGAGAGGCGGGATGTGCTTCATCAGGCCGACGCCGAAGGTGACGGCCGCCAGCACCTGGAGGATCAACAGCACGCCGATCGACATGATCAGCCCGCCGAGCGGGTTGTCCCGCATCGGCTTGAACAGGATCTGCTCCATGATCAAGCCGATGATTCCCACGATGATCATGGCGGCGACGACGGCGGCGAAGAACGGCAGCTCGTGCTGCGCGTAGAGCCAGAACACGACATAGGCGCCGGCCATGAAGAACTCGCCATGGGCGAAGTTGATGACCCGCATGACGCCGAAGATGAGAACCAGGCCCACCGCCATCAACGCGACGAAGCTGCTCTGCATCAGAGCGTTCACCAGCGTCTGAACGACAGTATCCACGGTGCCTCGCGCGGATCAGGTGCCGGGTGCGCCCCACCTGCCCGGCGGCGTGAGGGGCGCGCCGTGTCGGACGGGATGTGCGCGTGTCAGGAAACAAATCTTACGACGAAAAAGCCGGGGCCGCACAGCCCCGGCTTTCCCAAACGGCGGTCCGTGCTGCTGACGGACCCGCCGCCTCATAACGTGGTCGATAGTACAGGTTCCAGGGTTAGCCTTGCTCCTCGGTATGCTTGATCAACAGATCCCCGTGCTTGGCAAACCAGTCGAGGATATTGCGGTAATCGACGATTGTGGCCTTGCCGTCCTGGATCTGGACCACCGGCCAGTTGCCGACCAGTGCGTTGTCGATTCCGTAAAGCTCGCTGCCCCACCAGGCGGCATCGCCGAAGACATGGGGGCCGCGCCCGCCTTCCTTCAGCGCCGCGAACACGGCCATCGGCTCGACGGAGCCGGCCTTCTCCGCCGCCAGCTTCCACATCTCGGCGATTGCGGGATACTCCCACGTCACCGCGCTCCAAGCGTCCGGGAAGCGCTCGTTGTAGTTGGTGAAGAACTCGTTGGGGTTGTCGAAGTTGATATGCGGTTCGTTCATCGCCGCGTCGTCGAAATCCGGGAACTGGAACACGAGACCCTCGAGGAATTTCTTGCTCGTTTTCTCGATTATCCGCCCGTAGAAATCGAGGGTGCAGGAGATGATTTGCCCCTCGTAGTTCTGCAGGAACAGTTGCTCGCAGAGCAGGTTGACGAAGTCCGGATAGGCCGTGTCGAGGCACACGATGTCAGGATTCTCGGCCAGCATCGCGGTCACGACCGGCGCGAAGTCGGTGGTCGCGATGTCGAAGTACTTGTTGTAGACGACGTCGATGCCTGCCGCCTCGAACGCAGCGAGATAGGTCGCGACGGAGGGCCACCCGAGCTCGTCGTCCTGGGCGCAGATCGCCGCGGTCTTGAGCTCCGGTCGGTTCTCCGCCAGCCACTCTACGCCGGTCACGTTGTAGAGCGGATGCACCTCGGCGGGCGCCAGGTGATAGAGCGTATCGGGGGTGAGATCGCTCGGCAGCAGGGTGGTCGACAGCATCTCCTGCTTGGTGAAGAACTGCACGGCTGCCGGCGCGTCGGTTCCGCCCAGCATCATGATCATCTTGACGTCGTCCTCAAGCACCAGCTTCTTGGCGCCGATCAGGGCCCTGTCCGCCAGGTACTCGTCATCGTAAGATACGATCTCGACCATGTAGTTGTCGTCGCCGATCTTGATGCCGCCGGCCGCGTTGACTTGATCGGCCCAAATCAGGCACGCATTGCGGCCCGGCAGGGCCCAACCCGCCACTTCGCCGGTGAGCGGCCCCAGAAAGCCGAGCTTGACTACCTTCTCGGCACCCCGCGCGACATGGGGGGCGCCGAACGACGACGCGGCAACGGCGCCGGCCGCAGCCGCGGCCGTGCCCGAAAATTGCCTGCGTGTAAGTCCCTTCTTGCCCATGATTGGTCTCCCTGTTGGGTGCGGCTGCGCGGGGCGCCGTGGCGCGGCGCCATCTGTCGGAGCAGCCAGATCAATTTCGCCCCTATTGCGAAATCGTCAGGCAAAACCGTATTCGCTGTCATTGATCGGAGTCAAGACCGCGCGATAAATTAGGTCGCGAATACGAGTTGTTGGTTGGACCAATCATAATAGCGCAAGGCAACTATTTGGTTGTACCAATCAAATGTTAGGTGAATTGATGCCGCCACTGACAGTCGAGCGTCTACCGGCCCCGAGTCCACTATGCTATCCTGCGCTGTAGACATCATCGTTCGATCGACCGTGTGCCGTTTCCTCGCCGCAGACCGGTCGAAGACGCCAGACGGGGCGGGAGCGGCGACGCGACGAAGAGAAGGGGGAGGCCCGATGGCGCGTGATCCGAAGTATGACTGCTTGTTCGAGCCGATTCAGATCGGCCCGAAGACCATGAAAAATCGCTTCTATCAGGTTCCCCACTGCAACGGCGCAGGTTCCGAACGGCCGGGCGCCCAGGCTGCCTTCCGCGGCATGAAGGCCGAGGGCGGCTGGGGCGGCATCTGCACCGAGTACGCCTCGATCCATCCGGAATCCGACGACGTGCATCGCGTCTCGGCCCGCATCTGGGACTGAGGGCGATGTCATCAACCTCGGCCACATGTGTGACGAAATCCACAGGCATGGCGCGCTGGCCGGGATCGAGATGTGGTACGGCGGCAGCCCATGCGCCCTGCATGGAGAGCCGCGCCGTACCCCGGGGCCCGAGCCAGATCGCGTCCGAGTTCGAATCGCGCACCTACCCGCGCGAGGCTGACGAAGACGACATCAAGGACCTGATCCAGATGTATGTTGATGCCGCGATTCGCGCCGAGCGCGCGGGCTTCGACATCATCTACGTCTACGGCGCGCACAGCTATCTGCCGCTCCAATTCCTCTCCAAGTTCTACAACAAGCGGACCGACCGCTACGGCGGCAGCTTCGAGAACCGGGCGCGCTTCTGGATCGAAGGGCTGGCCGCGGTGAAGCAGGCGGTGGGCGATAATTGCGCCGTGGCGACCCGCTTCGCCATCGACACGCTGTACGGCGCCGAGGGCGTGGAGGTCGGCGACGACGGCTTCAAGTTCGTCGAGCTCGCGACCAAGGAAGGCGTGGTGGACCTCTGGGATGTCAACATCGGCGACATCGCCGAGTGGGGCGAGGACGCAGGCCCGTCCCGCTTCTACAAGGCCAACCACCAGAAGCCCTGGGTCAAGGACGTGAAGAGCATCGCCAACGTGCCGGTGCTCGGCGTCGGCCGCATGACCAGCCCCGACGACATGGCACAGATCATTACCTCCGGCCAGGCGGACATCATCGGCGCCGCCCGGCCCTCGATTTCTGACCCCTTCCTGCCCAATAAGATCGAGGAAGGCCGCCTCGACGACATCCGCGAGTGCATCGGCTGCAACATGTGCATTTCGCGCTGGGAGATCGGCGGGCCGCCGCTCATCTGCACCCAGAACGCCACCTCGATGGAAGAGTATCGGCGCGGCTGGCACCCGGAGAAGTTCGAGAAGGCGCCGGATCCGTGCTCGGTCCTCGTGGTCGGTGCCGGGCCCTCCGGCATGGAGTGTGCCCGCGTGCTCGGCGAGCGCGGCTACGACGTGCATCTGCGCGAGGCCGATGGCGAGCTCGGCGGCTGCGTGAGCTACATCCAGCGCTTCCCCGGGCTTGCCGAATGGGGCCGGGTGACCAGCTACCGCCAGATCCAGCTCGACAAGTTGAAGACGGTGGAGGTGCACACCGGCATCGGCCAGATGAGCGCGGACGACGTGCTCACCTATGGCGCCGACCGGGTCGTCGTCGCCGTCGGCTCACACTGGGCGACCGACGGGCTCAGCAGCGTCACCCACGCTCCGATTCCCGGCGTCGACGCGAGCCACGCGCAGGTATGCACGCCCGAGCAGGTCATGGCCGGCAAGGATGTCGGCGACCGGGTCGTCGTGCTGGAGGCCGAGGGCTACTACACCGGCGCGAGCGTCGCCGAATACCTCGCCGACCAGGGCAAGCAGGTGACCATCATCACCCAATTGGGTTCCTCGGTGCACTACACCGACTTCACGCTCGAGGCCCCCAACCTGCATCGGATGATGCACGAGAAGGGGATCAAGGAGCTGAGCTCCACCTGGGTGCACTCGGTCGAGACCGGCAACGAGGTCACCGTGCGCGCCTACCCGATCTTCGGCGACGGTTACCGGCGGAGCGCCGATCCGCGCACCGGCGAGCTGCCGCGCACGGCAAACACCCATATCGACGAGCTCAGCTGCGACACGCTGGTCGTCGCCACGGGCCGGCTCTCCAACAGCGCCCTCTTCACCGAGCTGAAGGCGCGCAAGGACGAATGGGCCGCCGAGGAGATCGACGCCATCTTCCATATCGGCGACTGCTACGCGCCCCGGATGATCGCAGACGCGGTGTTCGACGGTCACAGGATCGCCCGCGAGTTCGAGTCCGAGAACCCGCAGTACCCGCTGCCGTGGATCAGGGAGCGCCAGATTTGGGGCGGCGAGACCTATCCGTCGCTGCCGGCGAACGGCGGCGCGTAGCGTCGCGCGGATACGCGCGCGGGGGCGCGCGATGCAAGCGTAGCAAGCACCCGGCGTCCGAGGGTTATGGAACCGGGCCGAAGGCGCGGACGGCGCGACCGCGCCGCGCGCCGGAGGCGCGTAGCCAAGCGAGCGGAGCGAGCGCCCGGCGGCTGAGGGTTATGAAGAAGGAGCGTGCCCATGAGTACACGTGAATCGGCGCTGGCCGCGCACCACCGGGCGCTCGGCTCCAACCTCGAAGACTGGAATAATGACGATGGGCTGGGGGGGGCGCCTCCGGCTCCTGGTTACGGTTCGTGTTTTTTTTGTTTTGATTTTGGTGGGTGTTGTAGTGGGTTGTGTTGTGAGTGCGGTCACCATATTTTAGCTACTTAGTGTG